CTGATACAAGTATATGATTAGATTTCCCCTTTATAATCCAACCTGAGCACCAGTATTTGAGGAGCAAACAGGTAATCTCACTGATTACATAAGAAGTTGCTTGTGCACAAGCGGCGTTTTATTTCTTATTCTCTTTGGTATTTTAACAAGGACAATCAACTTGTTTCTGCATTTTCTTGTGAGATTTTGCCTTCTGGGTAAAGATCATCCTTTATCTCTCCTTCCCCCCTTTTCCCAGACAACCTTCTGCTGTTCTGGGAAGATGGAATGTATCGGTGATATCCCTTTCAGAAAATATATTCATCATATATCACAAGTATTGTCATTATGATGTATTAACATAATGCATCATCAGAGAGCTGTCAGGGTGAAGATTTATTACCCTAAAATAAGTAATAGTGAGACACTGAGGAATAGGTTGACAGAATTTTTGTTTATTTTTCTAAATTAAGGACTTCTAAAGTAAGTTTTAAAATCTCTTACCTTCATGGAGTAGTAGAGTTGGGAGGGTCACAGAAAAGAGGACTTGAATCAAAAGCATCACAACTCAGGAGGCGTCATAGAATAAGAATGTAATATTTTTTCCCCCTCCCTTGTAGTTTCTATGAAGTTTGCTAAGCTTAAGTTTCCAGCATAGATGAGAGCTAGTGGGCAGCCAAATTCATTTTAATCAACCTGAACTGGACCTTATTGTTTCTCCTTTAAAGAAAACAGAGCTACCAAAGCATGAACACTTGAGCTAAAATCTAGGCAAACCAGCTTAAAATGGTCTAAAAATAATTACATTTTAGTACAAAAGGATTCAGGTGTGTCTAGTGGACTTACCACAAACCTGATAAAAACACCCTGAAATCAGTGAGAGCTTTTCAGCAGGTTTGCACAGTATTTGGATCAAGCCCCTTCTTTGCATCATGTGGTGAAGCCATGAAACTTGGCACATTTATAGCATTGTAACATAAAGCCATCTGTGTACAAGTACAAACTTTTCCTTATTGCCAAAGTGCTTAATGTAATTACAATCAGGCTTGCTTCCCCTCTGCTCAGTTCATCCATATGCTGAGATGGATGAAAACTTGCATGGTAAAGAATCCCACAGCATCTGAGTTTGCGTGCCGCTTACAGCAGTGCGCATTGCTAACCTTGTAAATCTTAGGCATCTTTTGCATTTTAGGAACACACATAAAGTTACAGACTGTCTTACAGGAAAATTGGCAACAGAAATATGCCCAAAAATTCAGCCTGGATTCTTTTCTTGCTAACGAATTCCACACGGCACCTGACTTGGGAGCTCAGTTGCCCTTGCTTCCCTGTGTAGTCAATGAGGAGTCGAGAGGAGTCACAGAGTTTGCATGCCCAAGATGGGAATTGCCTTCAGGAGGTGACTTTTACTCTTTGATGGCTGGAAAAAGTGAATACAGAGGTCCTGTTTAGCTTGTTCACTGCTGTGTTGCATTAATTCTGAGAGGTGGTAAGCATCTGTAAAGTAGTTGCTGCATCTCAAAATTCAATCTATGTTGACTTCAACTGTGTTCAAATGCAATGTTATCCCATGGCATTTATTGTATGTGCATTTTCTATATCATGGTATTTGCATTCAGCTTCTTTAATACTGAATATCACACTGGTCAGTGTAAGTTAAATACCAAGGTTGCTTATAGGTTAATGAATGCACTGTGCTTGCTGCTGACTGACGTAATTACTGATAGGTGGTACACTGAACTTGACCCTACAGCCCACAGACATGTACTTGACTTTATCAGCAGGGATGGCATATCCAAAAGGAATATTAACATTAAAAAGAAACATATGCAGTTGGATGCATTTGCAGTCACAGGGAGTAAGTTTTCAGGGAAAAAAAAATTGCTGAAGGCAAAAGGTGGTTATGCCAGAGAAGTCTACAAGTTTCTCTTCCTGAAGGGGAATAATGATAATCCACTTAATTTTGGCCAGTTTTAGGAAGATAGCTTACTTAATTACCTAAAATGTAGGTGTGAAATGAGTGCCAAACTTATGCAAATTACCTCTACCTGAAGTCCTTTATAAACTGTCAATATAGGAAAACCCTTTCCTCTTCCATAAACCTCAGAATGGTTTAATCATGTATAGTGACACAGATACATTGGCTCAAGCCAAATTTATTTGGAGATGTTATCAGAAACGGGTATGTGCAGATGCTCATAAAGCACCTGCACTTTGCAGATGCCAAATAACCTGTTTCTGCACTTAGAGAAAGCTTTGCTGGCTCTCCATTAGGCTGTGTAGGTATGTGCTTATGGTTAAAGATGTGGTCTTTTATATGGACACTACATCTCCGTCTCAAACCCAGCAGGGATTTGCTTTCCTAAACTGAGATTTAAGAAAGGCACAAATTTTGAATTGTTGTAACCAGTCAAAAATTTTTGTATCACGTGCTCGTGATCAACTAATCTGCTTAATGGAAGAAGGGGGGGCCTGATCCTCCGTAGTGTCAGAGGGATGAGCTTGTAGGATCACCTTATGAAACATGGGAAGATTTGTGTTAGTATCTGCAGTCTGCTGATAATAGTATATTTCCTAATTTTGTGATGCTAAAAGAAAGGACTTCTGACCCATGCTGCAAGTGTTAGGAGGCAGATAAGTCTTTCATTTGAAGATTTCTATGGAATGTTGTCACATATGCTGCACATCAGAAGTTTAAGTGTTTGCGTGCATATATGCTGGAGTTATAAGGGGTTTGCCCAAAATCCTGCCCCCTCTGTGAGTAGAGTTTCACTCAGATTTAGTATTAGTAGTGGTTGCTGCTCAGATCACCAGTTAAAACAATCTTAGGTCAGTACATTTTAAAGGAGGTAAAACATCTTGAAGAGACCATATGAGATCTATCACAGAAAACCACTGATAACTCCACATCTTATTAGCTTCAATTAAGTATTTCCATAGGGAATCATGGAACTGTTTAAAGTCATGATGACACATACACACACTTTGTTCCATCCAAAGAAATAATCTGTTTTCCAGATTTCCAAATAGCCAAGCTATTTTGTTATTGTTTGTTGGTTTTTTTCCCTGCTTTTAAGAGAAATAATTTATAAGAATTTATCTTGAGCTTGCTACAGATTTAAAAGGAGAAAAAAGGTTTCTTCTGTCCGACTTTTAAATTATATGCATGACCAAAGATAAATATGTTTTTTATTTATAACTGTGGATAGATGCCAAACAAAGGCTTTCATATGACACACCGCTGCTGTAGTAGAGGAGTACTTAAAACAGCTTCCAGCCAAGTCAGGGCCCAAGACTTTTCATGCAACTTCATGCAAAATGGTTAAGACCTTTCATTTATTATTACTTTTCTTTCCTTTTGAACATCCTCAAAGGTTAGAAGTACAGCATGCACAGAGGATGCCAGGCTTCTTCCTGTCAAGCTGAGATGGTCTGAAAACCACATTGGAACATGGGGAAACTGCAGCTACCACAGATTGCAGATGAAGGGTTTTTTTCTTTACAGGCTGTAGATCTCTCCTGCCCTTCCCTGCATGGTTAGTAACAGTTAGATGAAGTTTATGGATGGAGGCTGGCAAAGCAAAGGATTGGTGTGCTGTTTCGAGAGTGGGATGAATGGGCTTTGACAATACCGCTGAATAGGAATACTTGTGGAGCTAATACAAACAATTTGTAATTGTCAGAGCTGAAAAGTTAAAACATGATTATAAACCGTGCCTAGGATCAGCTTATGTCAGCTTTAAATGATTTAAAAGTCTAGTGTCTGGAGCTGCATCTTGCTTGCCTGTAAAACTCCTTAAAGAAGACTTACAGAATGGTATAAGCACGTCTCTCCTTTTTTTGTCTATTTATTGTGAAAAGTAACCTTTTGTTTAGCTGACAGGAGACAGGTTTTTAGGACTGATTTGAAGCAGAGACTTCCAGATAAGTCGAAAAATATGGAATTTTCCAATTTAAATCAAGGGAGACAATTTCCTGGTGATAGTAACTTTTAGAAACTACTGATTTTCTTTGTTTTATGCAAGGAGAGGCTATGAATGGTTGGGTACTGATGCTCCTTGGGTGTATGATGGTTTTGTACTGTGCCAGGCTTGGGATTTGTGCTTTTTGTGCGAATGTGAGGAAAGCCTGTAAAAGGTGCAAACTTCTCTGAGAAAAGAAGGAGCCTAAGAAAGCATCCTCTGTTACCTAGAGCCTGCCATCATTAGGCCTGACCCTTGCTCATTATCCCCTGGTATCTGCAGCAGACAATGACCTTTGATGACACTGCACAACAGTACGCAAAAGAAATGCCTTCCTTTAAATTTTGGCTCCTGAATGCCAAACAGTAGGAGCCTCTTCCCCGTGCTGTTTCCAGCCTTCCTTTATGCAAACACATGTCCAAAAATTAAAATGCTACTAAATAATGCTAAGCAACACTGTTTAGGTACTAAACAGGTTCTAACCTAGGTTCTAACTTTGCTAGAAGTAGCTCTGTCTTCCCATCCTCTAAGAGTCAGGAGTAGGCTGGAAGCAACTAATTTACCATGTAATAAGATAGGTTCCTGTTGACACAATTCAAGGGCAAAACTATTAAGTCATTAGGGCTAATGTTGTAACATTCTGATACAAAGGCATGGCCTGGGCCTTTCAGATGTACCTCTGACCTTTTGAGGATTAAGTTTCTTCGCAGTTTATTTTTGGTATTTGGAATCTGTCTTTTTTTTTTTTTTTTTTTCCTTTGGCTTCCCATGCACTGATCTTTGGCCTTGTGCTAGTACAGCTTGTAGAGCAGTATCTGTAGTCCTGATTTGTCCCAGTTTTATCAAAGAAAGTAAGGATAGAAAAGTCAACACATTCTTAATCCCTCAATACAAAAACTGCATCATGTATTCCTTGGCTCAGCACTACCCATGTCACAGCTTGGTTTAAAGGACAGCTGGTAGAAGGAATCCAGGGAAATAGGGGTGGCTCTCAGGATTCTTCCACAAAATAGAGAAGGTGACAATTGCTTAAAACTGTCTAGATGTCATTTAAATAGATCCAGTATAAATGTGTCTTGCTATAGCCCTCTGATATTTTGATAAAATAACTTTTCTCAAATCTACTGGCATTGCCAGTAACCAGATGAGAATTTCAACCATTGAATCCTGCAGCGCAGCACCAGGTCTGCACTTGTTTCACTTTCATTGTGTGGGCAAGGGAGGTGCAACGGGACCTCAAAACTCATCCTGCGGTCATACTTGCTATCTCTCAAGATAGATTCACTTAAGGTCAACTTCATTTACTGCTGATATTTTTGGCTTTATGCTTTTCTTTTATGAGTCACTCTCTGAAATAAGGAGCCAAAAAATGTTCTCCCTTGGACCTGTTCTGGATGGAGAATCCTTTTGCCACCACTCTGAAGGATAACTGTTCTGCTGGTGAGAACAGCCTTACCCACAGGTAAGCTTCATGACCTTCACCGTAACAAACCTTTTGATATTTTCAAGATGCATGAAGAAACCAAATCAAAGAACACCTCAAGCTTTTGAATAAGTCTGATGTCTGAAACTTTTGACCAAAATGTCACATAGAACACATAAACAGGCCAAGAACTTATATCAAGGCCTGAGTGTTGTTGCCAAAGCTAGTCACAGTAAGACATTACTTAATTAGGAGGGTTCATTTTGCAGGATGCTTTTGTTAGTTATATAGGAATGTATTCAATAATAGGGAGCATTTAACAAAAAAATTTGAGAATGTTTTAAATTTAATTTCCAGTATGTTTTTAAGTCTATATTGCTTATGCATGTAGTTTGTCCTTTTGAAATGCTGGAAAGGGTTCTCCCTCTTGAGGAAGAATTAGCAGTCCATTCTTTGAAAAGAACATTTGGAGAGCAAGGAATCCAATGAGTTTATAGCAATAAGCCTTAGAAAGCTATATTTCATTAATTTATGGATTTATTTTTGAATTTTTCTTATTTTATTTTTGCATTCAGTCTTTTTAAATATGATGGTGATTCAGAAACGTATTTCCTGAATTTCTGTTCAATTTTAATTTTGCATTCAGTGACTTTAAATACAACAGTGATGGGGGAAAGGGAAGTTGCAGCAAAAAAAAAAAAAAAAAAAAAAAAAAATTCTGCTCCTAACACTGTACATGCCAGCGTAGGTCTGGAACGGATGCTCATGGCTGAATTAATAAACTCTGACTGTGGAGGTTTCAAACATGAATTCTGACAGACCCTTCACTATGACAATACTAGTGGGAGTCACAATAATATCATCTGCTGCTGAACATCGCTAGTATGTGAGCACTGTTGTGCCAAAGGTTAATATACCAGTTTTATTTCCTTCTCTCTACAGCTATAATTTAAATGAGTTGCACACATAAGTGATGTTATATGCATAGGGTTTTGCATTAAGTTTGCTATGTCAGATTTGTTTATAAAAATCATATTTTGAACCACTTGCCCAGGGGCTCCGTTCTGGGGAGCTGCAAGCCGATTTCTTTTAAAGAGGCAGTTTTCATTTTCCATGGATTTTCAATAGAGATTTTGGAGCTCTGAACAGGGAGCTCAGTTTTAAATTCAGCACTTGCCCAGGTTTACAATTAGATTTAATTACTTAGCAACAGAGAGTATAATCTAGTTTTACATGTGTGCCACATGACCCTTTCCATACCTTACTGGGATTGGAAGGGCCCCCTGCCTCTCTTGGGGAAAATTGCTTTCAACATTTTGGAGACCGTTTACAATGTTTTTGTTCTTATGCTGCAAAGTTAACGTTGCCCATAAACATAATAGTCACACAGTAGTTAATAAGGGGCAGAAAGTTTTATAGTCTTTTCCACAGTTGTTAAAATCCTGCTACTGTAGTTTAGTCCCAGCCACACAAAACCTACTGGTTGTGAAAAATAAGATGCTCTATGTGTTGGTTTATTCTTGGAAACCAGTGGAAGAGAGGACCTTTCCTGAGCATCTAGCTGAACGTAATGAACTTGGGGATTATTTAAATTGCTTGGCTTGTAGTATAAACACTCGAGGGCTTGCCAGCAGTGTACCTTCAGGATGTGTGACTTTTCTAAAAAAATCATTTGGGAGTTATTTTTTTTTTCAGAATCCATTGCAATTAGCGGCACTATGGCAAAGGATGATTTATTAAATTGCCTTTCAGTTAGAGGAAACAGAAACCATTAATGATGTTGCACATGCATTTTTAGTCAGGTTCAGCAAGAATAATTTTCTAGCTGTCTTTGTATGTTATGTAAACTAAGAACATTTCCACGGTACTAGCTGGATCATCCTTTGGGTACTGTAGAACTTCAAAATGGTTTTGACCTTCTCCTGCTAGAAAAGATGCTGGTATTCATGACTGCACCAGTGGAAATGAGGTACTTCTCAAAGTTAGTGAGATTTCTAGGCTCAAACATGAACTGAAACGGGCTCAGATGCAACTAGGCATTGACTACTAGTACCTCTTGGAGACACACTTACTTCATGTTCCTTTACCATGTGAACAGGGAGCAGGAAAGGCTAGAGCTGGGACAGTGGTCCCTGGAAGAAGTGGCAGACAGGAACAGCTCTGATAAGGAACAGTTCACACACTTTTCTGAAAGGGAATTTTCCATGCCTCTGTTAATAACTAAACAGTTACATTAAAAAACCCAAACAAACAAACAAAAAACCCCAAACAACAACAACAACAACTTGCAACCATTAATAATCCAGAATATTTTTCTCAGAAGGTACCTGTTCTACTAGTACATAGAAAACTAGTATATAGTACATGGTAGTGAAGAGTCGTAGGCAGAGAGGAATAAGAAAAAGCTTATTTATTTCAAAATTGAAATACCATGGACAACATGAGCTCTTAAGCACAATGATACTACATGCTGTCTAAAAGAGCAGAGTTCTAATTACTTGGCTACCATAACTGTACTTCAGTGTTTAAAATGTGATTTCCTTTAGATTTCATCTTCTGCCTGTGTTGCCTGGGATTGCAGATTGCCTTCTATTACATTTCTAAAATGCATTTTTCCACAGATTACCGGTGTGTACTTTGTTACTTATGGCTTAACATTGTTCCCCCCGCCACCTCTGAGAAGAGGGATGTGGGTTATCTTGGATAAGCTTGGCACTACCAACACATTGTGTTTTGCATCCTCTGAAAACTGTGTGCAGACTATGGAGTAGAATTCTGCAGGTTTGGTGCTGAATTTAGTGGGACTTTTAAATGCAGGGAACAGATAGTTTAACAATGGTAGGAGGGAAGGGTGTGTTGGGTTAGTGGTGGGCAGATGCTCCAAGGGGAAAAGCCCTTGAACAGGGATAGAGCTCCACACTTACTTCCCTGTGCACTGTGCCGAGGTGTTATCCAAATACCATGCCATAATAGAAGTCTAAAAAGGAAATGGTACTATTCACTCAGTAATTTCTGACCCATTGCCTGACTGCTCTAGTGGATTAATTTTGAAGCACAGATATGGGAGTACCCTTGTAGTGATATGTCTAAAAATACAGCACTACCATTTCAGTGTTGGTTTTAAAGAGTGGTTGCATAAAACTTTGTCAAGATGCTTAATACACTGTGCCATGATCTTCTTGGGCTGGGAAAGTGAACTTAGCATTGCAGTGGTTGCAATGCCTTCAAGGTCTGGCATGCTCAGTGCTCTGGACGTGATTCTGCACATGTTTGAAATTCCCATAGCTGGCAGGCTGGATGCTAATGGAGTGGGAAGGGATAGGAAATAGAAGCAGGTCCCTGTGCCTAACCCATCCTACACAGCCTGGCCTCCTCGCTACTTGGGGCTCCGCACACCTGGTCTGGTGACAGATACTTTCTGTTCAACCGCAGGGGTAAGCCAGAATATCCTCTTTGCTGTCTTGAAGAAGCTGTGGGGAGAGCAGAAGAACTCCTTCCCTGATCTGCTCCTGGATTCCCTAAAACTATATACAGCCCTTCAGTACAGGTCTGTCCCAAGGTACAGTCTGCTGCTGTCTGACAGGCTTCTCCTATCAAGAAGTCAAGCATTGCTCTGGAAAACAGACTTGTCTTTGTGCGGTAAGTTTGTTCTCCTTGATCCCAAAACCACTGAAATCAACAGTGTTTTGAAGTCAATTTCCACTGATTTCCATGGTCTGGAGATTAGATTTCACTGCCTTTTCAACTCCGAGTCTCAACAATTCCTGACTGCCTCAATCTGGATCTTTTTTTTTTCCCTACTGCGGGATAAAAAGATGCTATTTAACATGACGAGGTCTAAATAACTGGGCACTGTGCATGGAAACTACAGCTCTATTGTCAGTCCCATTTCACAGACAAGGAAGCTGTATCTGAAATCATACCTCCAAACTGCAGCAAAGCCGAGAAAAGAATCCAACTTCCATTCTATAGATATCCTACCATAAGGAAATATTTCAGCCTCATTTTAATTTGCAAGTGTTTCCAGATATCTCCCCTTGGCCATAGTCTCTTGCAAATGCAGCCGTGAACTGGAAATGTTTCGTGTTCATTTTCCTGTTGCGTTGCACTTTTTTTCATTATTTTATTTTCCTTGTTAGTTGCAGTCATTAACAGTTTGTGAATAAATCAATTATGGGTAAAAATATAGTAATAGCTAATAGAGCCTTTTTATTCTTGTGCTGACTGAGGTAGAATAGTATAGAGAAAATGCAATGCACTGGTATTTTCAAACTGAAATGCAGTATTTTTTTTTCCAAAGCTGTGCTGACTTACAAGCTCACAACACCCATAAGTTTGACTAAGAATTAGGCTCCTTAAAAAACAGACTGAGACCCTTCTCAGATTTTCCGTTACTGAGGAATTATCTTTAGTTCAGCAACCACTCAGGGGAGGCAGTTAGAGAGCTATATTGCAAGTGACACTTTAGAATCGTAGTTTTTTTCGGTATTTATCAACCGTTGTATTTTCAGCTTGAAGGTACCAATGTTTTTGTGTCACGTAATAAATTACAGAATGTTTACATGCAATTAGGTATGTGCCTATGGAGGAGAAAACACTGGGAAACAGGATTTTCCAGAGGCAGTAGCTAGTTCAGAGGCCCAGAGCCACTGCAGTAGCTGTTGTCAGGGAGGACTGAGTGGCAGTTCTAATTACCAGTGTCTACACAGGTTTCTCATAGGAAGATACAAGCTGTCACGATCCCTTGCCAATCACATGAGAACTGACCTAGGGAGAACATCAACTGAAGGTGAGTGTACACATCCAATAAATCCAGTCCCCACTGCATTAGCTTATTTTTAGGATTGTCCTGAAAAGGCATTCAGCCTGTATCATAAAACCTTCAACTGAGCAGAAAATACACAGAATGATGATGACTTTAAATTTGGGTTCTTGCCCTCTGGGGTATGAATTCATAGTGCTTCGGATACAATTTGATAATGTACCGAGTGCTGAAGGAACGCAGAATCTCTAGATGAGTTCATAAAGACAAAGCATTTCTGCAATGTCGGTGCTCTCCTAATCAAAGGAAACAAAATAAATTTTATTCTTGATTTTACTGCAAATGTTATACTTAATTTGCAGTGGGACAATGTTTTCTATGTAAGATATTTCTCAGAAACAGAATGTTTAAAGTTAGCCCATAAATTCATGCTTGCAACTGATACACCTTTTTCTGATTTTTTTTTCACCTTCTTCCATTGAGTGTATTACAGACTTGTTCTTGAACATAGTTTAGACAATACATGTGTCACAAGCAATGATGAATCAAAGAAAGAAAGCATCCAGAAAGGGAAGTTAACTAGACAGGTAGGCCCTCATCAGCATCACATTCTGTTCCATAGCTACAATAACAATAATTGAGTCAGACACATGGATTTTAAGTGCCTCTTAAAGAGGAAAGTTAGGGAGAGACATTGTGGAAAGAAAATTATATACTGAAATGTGGCATCTCCGTTTTGCAGCTGCCAACCTTGCTCTGTCAGTAGCCACAGCTGTTGCCTTTTCTTCTAAACTTAGCAGGGGATGGGTAAAACTAAAGAGAACCAGGGCACGTGCTTTAGCTGATAAGGAGGTGTGGGTCCAAGTCCCTTGGTGTAATCAAGGGAAACCTTTAATAAGTTTGAACTCCTGAGAGAGAGGTAATTCATTTTTGTGTCGAGAGAAGCTGATGCCGGGGAGATGTGCGCCTGCCTTGTGGGTGGATTCACTCTGGGGATGTTCCTCACAGCCCTTCGTGCACCACTTAGGTTTCCTCAGGTTCTGCTGTTTTGCCACTTGTGTTTTGTCCATCTTGGGCAGCACACTTACTCACTGTCAGCTTTCCCACTGCCTGAAGGAGAATATTTGTCCAAAAAAGGAGGAAATCTACTCTCTCATTCTGCCACTGATTGAATATGGGCTTTTAGCATGTAGTCCTCAACACTAAAGTCAAACCTGGTGGATTTCAAATCTGGAGTGATGAAAAGTACAGGCTTGTTATATCAGAACTTGACATCACTCATAGCAGTTTTCAGTAAAGAGTCTTGCAATACTCTCACTGAATTTTTGTGGCTGTTTGTTATTGGGTTTTTTCAAGTGTAAGCTTTGGACAGCTTGAGTCTAAGTATGAATATTTACTTCCTTTTTTTTTTTTTTCCCCGTCCTTGGGTTGCAGAAGAAAAGGTGGAGATACAACCTGACATTCAAAATGAAACACAAAGACTGAAATTAATAATCCATCATTTGTAATTTGCTTTTTCAGTTTGTTTTTTTGTTTGTTTGTGCTTTTTTTTAAATGTGGTCCTTATTCTTAAAAGCCAGTTCTCTGCTCTTTGATCTACCGCCTTGGGATTTTTGAGTGCTTTGTCTTTCCGTGTGACAGTCACCTGCCAGTGATGATTTGGGGAGGTGAACAAAATGCTGATGTAGATAATGGAAGACATGATCCTTCCCCCCATTCACAATAGTCTGAAGTACTCTGGTCCCTGGCATAAGGTCGTGAAGGGTGTTTATGGTGCAAAGTTCTGCTGATGTAGCATGACAGGTCTCTCTGAGGTCGCCAAACCTGGTGGGGTTTTGACCTATAAGAAACAGTTCTGGGGCAGAGTTACCTGCTGAATGTCCTTCAGCTCAAAGGGGTGCAGCTGGCTCGTTCCAACACAGAAGATGGGAGTGCTTTAACATGAGGTGTGGATAATCAGGAGAGAAGTGGGAATGTGACTGGCTGACAATAGAGATACAGCCTACACATCCTATGGGTGAACTTCACTGGGGGATAAAATCCTCTCTGCACCATGCAGGAAAATGCATGTTGATGGTGAGCCACTGTATGAGCCACTAACTGTGAAGGGAAGAAGGTCCAAAGGAAATAGAGGAAATGTGGATGTTTGTGTCATATACAGAAAATTTGGCCTGGCCTGCATGCCAGATGATATCCTTGCATCTGGTGAAGCTGAAGATGCTGAGAACAAGGACTGGAGGAAGGGGACCATACCCCAGTTAGATCCATGCACAATATGTAGCTGAACAAAATAAAATGTATCTTGGAAAAATGATTGATGAAGACTAGAGCTCATAACTCCTGGGGTAATTTTGTCACTTTTATCTTCAGGGTGGAGATCACTACATGCCAGGCTGCATTCCTTCGTAGCATCTGAATCATTCTTATTGTCTCCACAAGCTGAAAATGAGAAACAGACTGGCAGGAAAGTTAAAATTTTCAAGGTGGATAGAGCAGAGAACAGCCTTATTTGTTTTGGTTTGGGGTTTTGTTTTTAAGATTAAAAGTTCCTGTTGCATTTTTGCAGACAATAATACACTGGATTTTATGATTCCTCTATTTAAAACGAAAGTATGGTTTCCTAGATTTTAAAGAGAAATAAGAGCACCTGAATAAAAGGGCTTACTTCAGTGCTGTCTATATCCATCCTGGCTTTCCGTGAGATGCACGAGGGAGAAATATTTCCAAGGCACCAGTGGTTGCCATATCCTGTATGCAAAAAGATTCCATAAATGTCTGAAAACAGATGGAATGCAACTTCGGAGGAATAAATGGATTTTTAATTTTCTGAACATTTTGGATTCCATCTGGTTGAAGTAACTAAGTGACCTACTAGAATACTTTTACCTTTCTTGTATAATAGATAGAAATACAGCTTGCATTGCTATTGACTGACACATTCCCCCTTAATAAATGGGGTTTACTTGCTCACACATTTGATTATTTTTAACTCTTTTGCCTGTGTGTCAGGGGATACCTGATGCACCTCTTCCTGCATGTCACATCTAGATGTTGGCCGTCTCTCATGATTTGTCCTTGCAGCTGGTAAGGAGGAGCTCTAAACCACCTGCCTAAGCCCACCTGTCAGTAGTGGGAGCCTGAAGAGATAACACACCTTAGACTTATCTGACTTTTTTTTTTTTTTTTTGCTACAAGCATTGGCACATGGCAAAAAGAAAAATAAAATGCTCTTAATTTCCTGTCTTGCTTAAAAAGGGAAAGAGTAAGAATGAGTAGAGGCTTTTTGTAGAGGTACTAATGAGGTGGATTATTTTCTGTTTACTGTTTTTTGTTTCTGCTATTAGAATGTTGTTAAATGAATAAGAGTAAATACATGTGTGTGTTTTAAACAGGAAATGAGCATTTCTCTATGAATAGAAAATACAGGCAACTTGAACTCACAAGAAAGAAGTCATAAAGTATATTACTCTGTATAAAAAATGGAAGACCTAAGTTTATAGAAAAGACACCATTTTTGTGCCTTTTACTTTTTACCTTTCCATGCCTCAGTAGAAGGTAAAACCCAAGTCTTTTCACATCCCTTGAGAGAGAAAATGGGGCTTTTAAATCACTAATTTTAAGCCCATACTTTAAGTTGCACAACTTATGAGGCTGATTATTTATGATTTCCATATTGTCATTCAGAAAATTGTACTGAGAATAAGCATTTCCATGCTGATAAGTTCATAAGCAATAGTTAGTAAGATATTGACAATGTGTTTGGTATTAGTTTTCATATTTTTTGGCACTTGGGAACATTTCTCAGGGTTCTTGCTATGAATATGGATAAACATTCCAAAGAATAGGGAATAACAGCCCCCTTTTTTTTTCTAAGGGATCGTAGCGAGACTCTTTTCCCTTTCTGGAAACAAGTATATTTGTGTTTCATTAAAAGCTGTTGCATTTTAGGATCACAAGTTTCAGTCTAGCACAAAGCCTGAAATATTGAAAGATTTCCCTTTTGCCTGACATATTATTGCTATGTAAAAAAGTGTGCTTGCAAGGTCCTTAATAGGACAAAATATAGCATTTCCACTGCAAATAACTTTCATGTAAAACTCTGGTCACCGTAACCCCATAATTCAAAGTAGGCTTTCAGGCTTTCTCCCTGAAATTTGTGATTTTGAACTTCTGAGGGCTGGCAAGAACACGCACTGGTGCAGCCAGCAAAACTCCGGACACAGCGCAGTCGTGTTTTGAGTGTCTTTTGCTGGGATCCGGGAATAAGCTTGCCTTGTATGGCATTGAGACAATTGAATTCTCTTTTGCGTTATACACTTACATAATTACATTACTGTCTCTGAAGCCTTTTTGCCCCCATAAATGATTAAAACCGTTGTTGCACAAAGACTTGGGAGACGCATGTAAAACTCCTTATACAGAATGTAAGCGGCTGAAAGACCCACCGGCTGCCAGCATTGAGGATTTGCTGTTTCATGATTTTTCTGAGAGTTTAGAGTGTTCTAAAGAGAAGTCTGGATCCTGCTAATAGTACTGATCACATGTTCTCTCATTTGTATAATTGAGAAAATTAACAATATAATGAAAACAGCTCCATCTAAATAAGTTCTCTATCCACAGTTAATAAAATAGTATCTACCCTCAGAGACCTGGATTTTCTCTGCAAATGCTTTTAGTTAAACAAAGCATTTTGTGTACCTACAATGTGATATTTATTTTTTCATTATTCATGAAACAACTTTAATGTCACTGCTGATTTTCCTGGTAGGATGTTCAGCTCCAGCATACCAGAGCTCATGCTGAGTTGTAGCTGAAGATGTCATTCACAATAAACATGAGCTGCTGTGACAATACGATGGCAGAAGGTGAAGAATCTCTTTCCTCGTGCAAGGACGTGCATGTGTTTCTCTCCGTGTGCGAGAGGGAGAGAAGGAAAGAGGTTTGATTGTGTTTACAAGATTCATCTGTGGCACAGCAGGTAGTAGTCACATTGTAATATTCACCTTAACACAGATAATTTGAT